AACTAATGTGGACAAGGGTTGTGGATTACCTGTTAAACGCCAGTTATGCTGTAGATGTCATTGAACTTCCATTTTATAAAAATGTGCCAATGAAAACATTTTTTGAAGCACCACTCTGCTGTGCATCATTTTTTTCTATTTGCTGTGTCACCAATTTGAAACGGACATACCTATCTGTATGTAAAATTGTTAAATAAAAAAAAAAATGGGGACAAAACAAAAATCCTAATCCATTTTATGAGAGGCACCAAGGAGGGGACCTAGTGAAAGTGTACAGGCCTGTATTTACAGAGCAGGCTACAACGCACAGTCAGCCCAATCTACTGTGCTGTTTTATGTGATATTTGGCCAGTAGGCCATTTGGAACCAGATTAGCTTTTTAGAAATAAATCAGGTTAATATTGAAAGAGAAGTAGATAAAAGGCATACATTTTAAATCTCAAATATTAACAATAGTGCAAATAAACAAATGTTAAAGAAGACCTTCGCCTTTTCCATGAAATGAAGGTTGAAGAGAATGCAATCAGACTGCTACTCACTGGAGTAGTCAGCTGGAAGACACACGTACAAGTATGGGAGAATTCAGTACCAACTGTACTTACCAATAGTGAACCTGGTTTGAACTTGGCTAAATGCCAAGAATCCTGCAGAGAGAAGGAGCATTTGTGAAGAATTACATATACTAGCAGAGTACTGGCAGTCTGTTAAGACACACTGTGGACTCTTATTAAATACTAGTTGAAGCATCAGCTTCAAATAAGTCTATATAGCTGCAGGTCTTAGAAATGAATCACATCAAGACTTCAAGTCAGTGGATTGAGGATTTAAGACCATACAGTACTTTGGTAATCCACTTACTTCTCTCCAGTCCTCCATTTGATAGGAGCAAAGGGGCCTTCTTTAAGCAATAAAGTGAAAAAACAGGCCAGATGTCTAACAAGTTCATGAAATTTGAATAATTTTTTTCATTACATGATAAACATTTTTGAGAGGTAAATAAAGCAAACTTGTATTACATCATGAAATAGCTCTACTTAAAAAGCTCTAAACGCCCAAACTATTTGCTGTATGATATATATTATACATACTACTAAACTGAATGGAGAGCAGTTTGTACGATTAAACTACATGGGACTGTTAATCAAATAAGGCTTATTTTAAAACAAAATGCAAAACAAACCATCTAACTTTTTTTGGAGCCCTTGGAATAAAGGAACCTTCTAAGGTCATGGCACATGTTTCATTTACATTTCCTGTGTGAAATCACCTTATCACAATTTCACAGAGACTTGCCCAATTTTGTAAGTTTAGCTTATTGCAAAAGTGACTGAATTGAAAACAAATTGAATAAACTGATCTATTCACAAGATTGTTAGGTGAAATTCATTCCCAAGTAATCCTGTGAAATGGATCTGTCAACTCTGCTGCTGTAGTATAAACATTTGGCTGGAAAATGAGTGCACAGATTAGTTTGTGTAATCTCTAATAACAACTAAATGTATAAAATATAGTATAAGGACTTAACTGATCTATCAATTGCTTTGCTAAAATGACAACTGAGGCTGAATTCACACTAAACGGAGAGCTGCCAGAGCGTTTTAACAGTCCAACAGCTCTGTTGTTGGGTGCGGAAAAGGACAGTGTGGTGTGTGATTCAGCGCGTCTCCCTTTTTTTTTGTAAGAACTTTATTGGAAGTGTATAAAATGTACACTTCATTCACGGCAGACTTGCTGTACATTAGCGTGGGATCCGGCATGGTGTGCTGCGATAAAAAGCAGCATGTCTGCATTTTAGTGCAACCATATGCACGTTACGGTGTGAACGCAGCACGTCACCGCATTTAGTGTGAATTAGTCCTTAAAGTTTTAGGGGTTGACCAGATGAATGAAAAAAAAAAAAAAAAAAAAAAAGCAGTGTAAACACACTGAGAAATTATACTAAGAATGGTCAAGCAGTTTTGCTACAACCACAGGTCAGTTATACATTTGAGAACTGATAAAGACAAGCAAAAATTGTTGGAACGATCTACTAGCACATCTCACATATGGTTCTGCACAACAAAACAGACCCAACTGGACAAGCCATTATAAAGCTGTTTGGAAGTTTACAGGCTGTATACATTAAATAGTACCTGTAATGTTCGACCAAGACAATGAGACAATCAGATTTACCTTCATAAACCGGAATGGCTAAACCAGGGACTGAAAATCATTGTTTGAAATGTTTACACACATTTTAGCAAAATATGGACAATTAAAAAGCTTAAAAAAAAAAAGTAAAAAAAAAAAAAAAAAGTATTTTTGTTGGTGAAGATTAGCTGATAAATACGAAACTGGCTTTTTCAAGGCTCTCAATCTTTAAGAATTCACTGCTTGATTATACTTTTAGTTCTCATTGCATACTTTATTTCTCTGAACTGAAAGAGGAGAGTAATCTGTTGCAAGGAATAATCTTTATAAATCTGCTTGAATTCAGACGATATCATCATGATAACTTCACTCCCATTATAAAAATTAGGCAACAGTATGGAAAACGCAGAGAATCCACTAATATAAAAGCTTTCCTTTAGGAGGGAACAATAATGTATTTTTTTAACCATTTAGTATTTGTCTCTTAAAGTGCAAGTTCACCTTTACAAATACACTATGTTATAGGGATATAGCAGTATAGTGTGCTAAACCTACCTGTCAGCAAGAGCACCCTTTCAATTCAAAGAATGTAGGCCATTAAAAAGAGGCCTTCCTAAAACCTTCTATAGCCTGTGATGACTTTCTCATGAGTTACTTTAGCGACAGAGCAGCCCTTGGGAACACTGGCCCATAGTACCAGGGAAGGGATCACATATGCAACTCACCATAGGAGAAGAGTACACACTGCACATGTACAGCCCCCTGCCCCAACAGCCACCCCCCCCCCCCCCCAAAAAAAAACAAATAAAACAAAAAAAAACAAAACAGTGCTACCCCTAGGAGCACTAGGGGATACTTGCCAGAACAGTTTCTCTTTCCCTACAATAAACGTAGGACAGAGGCATCATAGGTTTATTTTATTAGATTTTAAGAATGTTTCTTTTGAATGCAATTTTGGCCTACATTTTTTTGAACTGAAAGAGGCCTGGCTGGAAGTTAGGTTTATCACATTAAGCTGCTATAACCATATAGGACAGCGTATGGTGCTTTTACAGTGAACATGAACTTTAACAAAACTAGTCAGTAAAGCAGCATCTATAAACACCAGCTGGGAAGGAATGTGAATGTCAAAAAAAAGCAACGATACGGATTTAGAGAAATCTATGATATGGAGATGGTTTGTACCTACACCTGATAAGGAACTTAGATAGGTTGTGAATGGCTTAGGACTTTACATTATTTGGGTTACTAGAGAACAAAAAGGTGCCCAATTATTGCCATGGTTAAATTAAGCCTTATATAAGCTTCACAAGATACATGTCCAATAGACAGTCTTCAACGGATTTTGAACACATCCAGAGGCTAAATGTATAAGCAGAAGTAGTATCACCACTCTGACGCAGAATAAAATTATATGCCATGAGCTCACCACGAAAACACTGCATGGCAGATCAAAAACCAGGAAAGATTATACAGAATTAGCAATGCCTGGTTGCAGGTGGAACTTTTAGTGAACAAGGATATTTGTTAACCAAAAAAATCTCCCTAGATCTAAAATCAGAGCTACTAATACTTGGGAACATTTGTTAAATTGTAAGGTATATCTTACAACCATGTCATTGGTATGTGTTTTGGCTGACTGACAGGGCATACACTGACCAAACAACCCAAAGTGGTATGATATCCTTAGCCTAAAAACCCCCAAATGTCTCTTATTAAACAAGTTTGAGACAATAACACATTGGAACTGAAAAGGTGGAAATATTAAGAGCTTAAAAAAAAGATGTGTGCATACAGCTTTATTAGAAGGAAGGAGGTGCTCCCTTTTACTCCAGTTCCCCAAATGTAGGGTATAACTTCAAGTGCATACTGTTTCATACTTCCAACAGGCGGTGATCAAGAGCTTCTTCTACATACATTTCATTACTGGCTCCAAGAAATATAGCCATTGTGCTAACAAAAGAGCTTAACAGGCAAACAAAAACTTAAGACCATGCCTGGAGTATGGATCAAGTGCAAGGAAATGTAATGGGCCAGAAGTGCAAGTTGGTGTACCCAAAAACCAAATTTTGTGTAGCAGTCCAAAATGTCTTCTTCGTGCTTTCAGTGGAAACATAATGAAAGCACTTCCAGTGCAGCCTACCCTTGCCATGAAAACCTGCATATTGGACAGACTCTGGGTCCAACGTAAACAGATACATGAACAATACATTTTCAGCAAATTAGGAAAAGGAATAGGCTGGGTAGGAAGAATGTCTTGGATATATTCAAGTGCAAGTAAACGAGTTGGAGCAAGTACAGGAAGAGCTGGTTGTTGACCCGTCCATCCATTGCTGCATAGCAGGTCTCATTTTCCTTCATACACAAAAAGTAAAACACTTTTTTGCAGTTACTCTCTCCCCTAGTTATAGCTCCAAGGACTTGATAGAGTCATTCAATCAAGAGGCTAGGATGCTTCTCCTAATAATGTCTGTCTCGTACCCACGATTCATACTACTGCTTGAGGACAGCCTTCGTAGTGAACACTTGTCTGTTGATTCTGTTTCAGAGTCACTCATCTCTGCATCAGGGATGTACCCATCATTGTCACTGACTAGTTTAAGTTTACCTTTTGTCCTATCATTTGATGAGACTAGACCCAAGTACTGACAGCTACTGTTTGGCTGACAGGTTTCCATTTTTCGTTGCTGTCTATCTCCTTTCTTTGGAATTCGGAATCCCCCCCAGTTTTTCACTGGGCTTGTAGGCACTTTTATAGAAGAAGACTGTTTACAGTGGATTTTGATTAATGAACCACTGTATTTTGCCAAACTGTTCCCACCAGGGCTTTTCTTTGAGAATAAAGTGGTTGTCTTTCCACTACATTGGCTTGTGGACTTCTTGCTTTCTCCCTGTCTATCAGACGGCTCTCCAGACCTGATAACTTTATGGTGCTGCTTGTGAGGCTTCTCCTTGAGCTCTGCTCTTACAAGATCACACTGGGAGCGACTGTCCCGCCGCTTCCTATGGTCTGGCATACTTGTCTCGTTTTTCTGCTGTACAGGTGCAACTTTGGCAATGGCCTTTTCTGCAGAATAAGTGAAATCAGCAGATGGCATTTCCTTCCTTTTGTCAGAGCAGCTGGAACGTGAGTGCAGTGGCTTCAATGTGCTTGATGACCTGTCTTTGTCCCTGCTCTTTTTGTGAGATATTTTCATGGTGCGTCCCAGGGAGGCACTCAGTTGTTTCCTGAAGAAAGCAGAGTGCCACTTTAAATCTTCAATTTTTTTGGGGCATCTGGGTTAGATGGCTGGGTGTTGAAGAGTAGAATGCTCTCAGACATGGCACCTAGTAAAAGATTAATGATATAATAAACAGCGGAATCAGATAAGAGTTAGGTTTCTTATTATAGGAAAACAAGTCTGCTACCAAAAGTGAAGTAGCAATTTAATAAAAAAAAAAAAAATTTAGCTTATATTTGAAGAGGGAAGTGAAGGAAATTTGTATATATAGAACATTGGGCTGCCAGTGCTGAATTCTTTCTGAAAATGGCAGCTAGATGTTACCCTGATCTCTTAGTTTGAATGCTTTTTTTTCTTATTATTATTACCAACCTAAAACTGATGTGCAAATCAGGATTTCTGAATTTGCTTACTGTATGCTTTTTACAGGTCAGCTACCAAAAGCACAGAAAGCCAGAGATAGCTAGGCAACTAGCATTTTCAGGTGATTAGCGATGGCAAGCAACAAAATTAACCTAGGTGCCCTTTATACAACGCTTCACCTAAGCTAGCAAATATTTTGTATGTACATCATGGCAGAAGTCAGTAAATAGGCTGAGGAAGTAACAACTACATGCAGCAATATGAATCTATCTTTTCCTAACTTTTGGATAATTTAATATAATTATAATTTATTATATTAATTACATTGCAAGGCATAGAGAATGATACAGTAGGCCTAATGTATGAAAGCAGCAATATTCTCCGCAAATACCCTGTAAAAGAACACTGTAAATACTTAAACTTTGCTACTGAGGACCACTGCTTAACACCAGACAAATGGTCCCCAGCAGTCTGATGGTAAGCCATTCACTCTAGAAGTCTTGATCTTCTTGGTCCCACCAGTGCTCACTGGTAACTCCTGCTGACACCCACAACACACTGTCTCCTGTAGTGACAGGGGACCCAGAAGTATGAAACAGTGAGAGCAACAGGATACCAGGATGATTGACTCTGCTAGAATGATTGGCTTGTAGCGGTCTTTAGGAGTGCTATTTCTCTGGAATGGAATGCAGCAGTGGTGGACAGTGCAGAGAGCAGCAAAAAAGTATTTACAGTCTAGTTTTACAAGGTATTTAATGGTGTATTTGTGCTGGCAAAATATCAATTTTATATATGACAGGGTCACTTTCTGGAGTTTTTCTTTTAAATTTAAAAAGCATATTAGTGGTTACCCATCTGTGTTTTGTGCAAGGTGCATCATAGAACACTGTCACACAGAATCACAGGTACTTAACTAGAATGCTGGTAGCAGGGACTGTGGGATGAACATAAGGTGGTCAAATCTATGTCTTCCCCCCCCATTTATGATTACAATGTTGAGGGCTGTTCATTTATGTATAGTTATACAACCTGAGGAAGACATACACTCACCGGCCACTTTAGTAGGTACACCATGGTAGTTCTGGGTTGGACCCCTTTTGCCTACAGAACTGCCTTAATTGTTTGTTGCATAGAGTCAACAAGGTGTTGGAAACATTCCTCAGAGATTTTTGTCCATATTGAGATGATAGCATCACATAGTTGCTGCAGGCTTGTCAGCTGCACATCCATGATGCGAATCTCCTGCTCCACCACATCCCAAAGGAGCTCTATTGGACTGAGAACTGGTGGTGGAGGCCATTGTGTACACTGAGTACAGTGAACTCATTGTCATGTTCAAGAAACCAGTTTAAGATGATTTGAGCTTTGTAACATTATCCTGCTGGAAGTAGCCATCAGAAGATGGGTACACTGGCACCTGGTGTGGTTTTCTGCTGCTGTAGCCCATCTCCTCCAAGGTATGACATGCTGTGCGTTCAGAGATGGCATTCTGCATACCCTGGTTGTAATGAGTTACTTACTGTTGCCTTTCTATCATCTCAAACCAGTCTGCCCATTCTCCTCTGACGTCAACAAGGCATTTTTGTCCACACAACTGCGGCTCACTAGATATTTTCAGACCATTCTCTGTAAACCCTAGATATGGTTATATGATAGATATGAAAATCCCAGTAGATCGGCAGTTTTTGAAATACGCAGACCAGCCCGTCTGGCACCAACAACCATGCCACATTCAAAGTCACTTAAATCCTCTTTCTTCCCCATTCTGATGCTCAGTTTGGACTTAAGCAAGTTGTCTTCACATCTAGATGCCTAAATGCATTGAGTTGCAGCCATGTGATTGGCTGATTAGAAATTTGTGTTACCAAGCAATTGAACAGGTGTACCTAATAGTGGCTGATCAGTGTACATTGTGTAGCAAATTTGCTTCAAGTATGTTAAAGCTGAACTCCAGGCAGGCAGATTAAAAAAAAAAAAAAAAAAAAAAAAAAAAATTATAGCTCTGGATTCATTAACTAACATTTAAACCTGGTTCCCTTGTTGCATAATATGAAAAATAAATTGAAGGCTTAGGACAATCTCCTCCTTACGTTAATGGGTCATATTCACCTTTTTAAAATGAAATTGCCTAGTTTTCTATATGTTCTCAGACATTCACTTGTCTGGATACCTAAAAAAAGCGCTTTCAAACGCATTAATTCATGCCTCGCTTCCTTTCTCTGGGGCTTGTGGCAGCCATGGTTTAAATTGACCACAATGGAGCTGCCCTGGCAGGGGGATCTAGCTTGTCCAGATCTTTTTAAGTACTGCTAGTGCATGCTCATAACTGGCTAGTTGAAGACGAGTCGAATACCTCAGTGGTTCTGGAGGCATCATGCTTAGGAGCTTATGAGGCTTGAAAAGAACTTTCTGTACCGAGGTCCAGCAGCTTCCCTTCCCTTGACAAGGGTGATGAAAACTGTTTTGCGGGCTTGGTCTTTTGTCCAGGCTGGACAGTCATGCAGCTGGGCATCTCTCCCAATATACCACTCTGGATTGGCAGTCCCATCGGAAGATGTGCTAGTGCACGAAAAGCGTAAGGAGGAGCCAATTCCGCCGTGACGTCACACCGCCGAGCAACGTGGAGCTCCAGCGGCCATCTTATCTTGTGGACAGTTAGTCCGGTTTCTGATATTTGCTTGTTTATGGATGCATCTGTTTACTCCCAATAAAGAGTCTATCAATATACTATACTATGGGCATGTTTTATCTTGACTCCTTCGCGGAGTACTGATTTTCTAGACGCCCAGTACCAGTCCAAAGCCTCCAGAGAGGGAGCCTGTTAATCCTTTGAGATCTGCACCCATCCATCCCCTAAGGGGAGCTCTGGACGCCCCTGGATCACCCTTTAAGGCCCTTGGATCCATCTATCATGAGAGGGAGTTATTTCCACATCTGACCTGGCCCTGATGACCTTATCTGATGACACCTGGATATATTATATAAACGCGCATTATTACTGTGCGTCCGGTGAGTGCGCATTTCTTCTGTTTACGAGAGCACAATCACCGATCTGAGCCATCAGGACCTTATTGGCACATATATATCACTTTATGAACTATTATTTTACCATATTTATGTTTTATGAATTATTCACCTCAGTATAATTTTATATAATTTATCTACTATTTTATGAGCGCTGCACTTTTATATATATTTTGTGTCTTTGTAAAGGGTTTATTTTGGTTACCTTAGTGTACAGCTGCTGATCTACTATATTTTGAGCGCTCACATACATTTCATATTTTTAATTGACTTCCTCTGTCCCTCAATGGAAGAGAAAGAAAAAGGTTGCCCCAGGGCAGGAAGTGACGGAAAATTTCTCAAACAGCTACAATGACATAAGTAAAAAAGTTTTAAATAATTAAGGAAACTTTTAAACTTTGCTACAGATTTTATTTTCCTCACTCACTTCCTCTCTGGCAGAATGTTGAGGGGAAATATCTCTAATGGAGCTTCTGGTAGCAGTAAAACCAGAGAGGGGTTCTAACCTTTTCCACTTCCTTTCAAAATAAAAGAAAAAATTGGGTACAGATACACTTTAAATATATCTAACTTACACTACTATGATACAATGCACAGGTTTTATAAGAATCATACCAGCACTGCTTTTATCATGATCCATGAGTTTTGTGTATAGATTAAAGATCTGTTCCTGGACTTTACAGACAGAACGCTTCATTTTTTCTCTTCTGGTTACCATGTAAGTAAGATTGCGGACCTGAAACAGAAAGACAAAAGAAAAACTCAGACTGGATATGGGATTTGTTTAGCACACAGGAAGTGTTGTGACTTTACATCAGAATCCTCCCTTGACTCTTTAGGATTAGCACACCAGAACAGATGTACAGATGACAATGTAAAGCCATGGGATTCGTGTAACAAGATCCAGGAGGATAAAAACAGTAAGAAATGGATGCCTAGCCATCTCCATGCAGCACTGATATAGTGCAATTCCTGCCTTTATAATACAACTATACATATTTCATGGAAATAATGCTTCTAGTAAAGGGAAAGGCTAATATAACAATATAACTCAAGTTTAAAATGCTGCTTCCCCCTTGTTCATACCCATGCTGCATATGGTTTGTAAAATAGCTCACTGTAAAATCCTTTTTTTTTCTAAATCTCCTTTGGTGTGGTTATGTGATCGCTAAGCTCTAGCTCCAGCAGCGAGTGGCTGCTGCAACTGATGGGAGGGGGTGCCAACAACAGTAAGCTGGGGGGGTTGTTAGTGAGCTGCTCAGCAAAAAGACTGAATTCAAACCTCTGACAGGGGAGCTGGAATTTAGTGATCAAGTGACGATACTGAAAAATAGGAGGGGAAAAAAAAATAAAAGTATTTACACTCAAATATTTAACAGAGTATGCAGTATGCGTTTGGGTGTGAATGGAAAGGAAGGTGGGTGGAACCGATTTTTTTTTAAAACCCGAGTTATATTAGTTTTTAGTTCCACTATATTTACATATTCTGAACGAGCAGTAAAAACACTTTATAACAAACCCTCATTCACCTCTGTAGCTACAGTCAGGTCCATAAATATTGGGACATCGACACAATTCTAACATTTTTGGCTCTATACACCACCACAATGGATTTGAAATGGATGTTTGAAATGCACGAACAAGATGCTGCTTTAACTGCAGACTTCAGCTTTAATTTGAGGGTATTTACATCCAAATCAGGTGAACGGTGTAGGAATTACAACAGTTTGCATATGTGCCTCCCACTTATTAAGGAACCAAAAGTAATGGGACAGAATAATAATCATAAATCAAACTTTCACTTTTTAATACTTGGTTGCAAATCCTTTGCAGTCAATTACAGCCTGAAGTGTGGAACGCATAGACATCACCAGATGCTGGGTTTCATCCCTGGTGATGCTCTGCCAGGCCTCTACTGCAACTGTCTTCAGTTCCTGCTTGTTCTTGGGGCATTTTCCCTTCAGTTTTGTCTTCAGCAAGTGAATTGCACTGCTCAATCGGATTCAGGTCAGGTGATTGACTTGGCCATTGTAAACATTCCACTTCTTTCCCTTAAAAAACTCTTTGGTTGCTTTTGCAGTATGCTTGGGTCATTGTCCATCTGCACTGTGAAGCGGCGTCCAATGAGTTCTGAAGCATTTGGCTGAATATGAGCAGATAATATTGCCCGAAACACTTCAGAATTCATCCTGCTGCTTTTGTCAGCAGTCACATCATCAATAAATACAAGAGAACCAGTTCCATTGGCAGCCATGCATGCCCACGCCATGACACTACCACAACCATGCTTTCACTGATGAGGTGGTATGCTTAGGATCATGAGCAGTTCCTTTCCTTCTCCATACTCTTCTCTTCCCATCACTCTGGTACAAGTTGATCTTGGTCTCATCTGTCCATAGGTGTTGTTCAAAGAATGTTGTTAGAAAGAACTGTGAAGGAAAAGGCTTTTTAGATGTTGTTTGGCAAACTCTAATCTGGCCTTCCTGTTTTTGAGGCTCACCAATGGTTTACATCCTGTGGTGAACCCTCTGTATTCACTCTGGTGAAGTCTTCTCTTGATTGGTGACTTTGACACACATACACCTACCTCCTGGAGAGTGTTCTTCATCTGGCCAACTGTTGTGAAGGGTGTTTTCTTCACCAGGGAAAGAATTCTTCGGTCTTCCACCACAGTTGTTTTCCGTGGTCTTCCGGGTCTTTTGGTGTTGCTGAGCTCACCGGTGCGTTCCTTCTTTTTAAGAATGTTCCAAACAGTTGTTTTGGCCACGCCTAATGTTTTTGCTATCTCTCTGATGGGTTTGTTTTGTTTTTTCAGCCTAATGATGGCTTGCTTCACTGATAGTGACAGCTCTTTGGATCTCATCTTGAGAGTTGACAGCAACAGATTCCAAATGCAAATAGCACACTTGAAATGAACTCTGGACCTTTTATCTGCTCATTGTAATTGGGATAATGAGGAAATAACACACACCTGGCCATGGAACGGCTGAGAAGCCATTGTCCCATTACTTTTGGTCCCTTAATAAGTGGGAGGCACATATGCAAACTGTTTTAATTCCTACACCGTTCACCTGATTTGAATGTAAATACCCTCAAATTAAAGCTGACAGTCTGCAGTTAAAGCACACCTTGTTTGTTTCATTTCAAATCCATTGTGGTGGTGTATAGAGCCAAAAATGTTAGAATTGTGTCGATGTCCCAATATTTATGGACTGACTGTATAAAGAAAGAAGCACAGAAATTTAAAGTGGTTGTAAACCTTTAACTATATCCAGTGAAGTGACTGGTCTCTGGTGATGCACAGAAATGAAACAAATCCTCCTACATAAAATGTTACTAAACACACAACAGTAAAATCAGTCTGCATATGCAGTAAAGCATGCTTGTTATACTTACTGTCTAGCTAAGGGGTTAATCCTCTGCATTGTGTAAAAAGTCCATCTGATCCTGTCTTCTATGTTCCTCCCCTTTTTCAAGCGACCACCTCCTATCTCTACATTGAGCCATAGGCATGCACATGCTCAGTTTGTTGTGTATTGCTAGAGAGTTTTTTTTTTTTTCTGGGAGAGTGCATGTGATCAGCACAGGGCAAATCAGCACTGTCCAGACAGAGGTCAGGGGATTTGCATCCTCCTAGAGCAGAAGGAAAACTCCTCCAACAAGCTTTAACTAGTGGTAGGCTGGACACTGATAGAAGTCACAAGACTGCTCTAACTTCTGATGAGAAAAGGTATTAAGCAGTTTATATTTACTAAAATAATTGCACTTCCATGTTCTGTGTACTGTGGGAGACCAGATATAGTGGATGCAGGGTTCTGGGTTTAGTAACACTTAACTTTTAAGTTTATTTAATTTCAATGAAAATGTATCTGAAGTCAGTTGCTGTAGATCCGTTATCTTAGGATAAACTCATGATCAGGAGACTTGAGAGTGTTGCAACAAAGTAATCGCTTGTACAGGTGAAACTGGAAAAATTAGAATATCGTGCAAAAGTTCATTTCTTTCAGTAATGCAACTTAAAAGGTGAAACTAATATACGAGATAGACTCATTACATGCAAAGCAAGATAGTTCAAGCCGTGATTTGTCTTAATTGTGATGATTATGGTTTACAGCTCATGAAAACCCCAAATCCACAATCTCAGAAAATTAGAATATTGTGAAAAGGTGCAATATTCTAGACTCAAAGTGTCCCACTCTAATCAGCTAATTAAGCCATGACACCTGCAAAGGGTTCCTGAGCCTTTAAATGGTCTGTCAGTCTGGTTCAGTAGGAATCACAATCAGGGGAAAGACTGCTGACCTGACAGTTGTGCAGAAAACCATCATTGACACCCACCATAAAGGAGGGAAAGCCTGAAAAGGTAACTGCAAAAGAAGTTGGATGTTCCCAAAGTGCTGTATCAAAGCACATTATTAGAAAGTTATGCGGAAGGGAAAAGTGTGGAAGAAAAAAGGTGCACAAGCAGTTGGGATGACCGCAGCCTGGAGAGGATTGTCTGCAGCAGGGCTGGTCTCTCTCTCTCTGCTCTCACAGCCAATGGCTACCATTGCTGTTAGTCAAGTCCTCCAGTGAGAAGCAGGGGAAGTGGCTGAGCAATGCTTTGAGTGTTTATGGATGCACAAAGCCTGGCTCAAGGGGAGGAGCGCCCGCACATGTTTTCCCATAGCACATGGCTTGCTATGAGGGGACACTTAGAAGAGAAGTCATAGATAGTTCAGGCAGGGGACCAAAGAAGAGGAGGTAAGGGGCCGAGTTGTACAATATCCTTGCACAGAGGAAATAAGTATAAACCACTTTTTTTTTTAGGTTAAAAAAAAAAAAAAAAAAAAAAAAAAGCCTTTAGTAGCACTTTAAGGATTACTAGTTTCTATAGGCACCTCATGTTAACACTGAAGCCCGAACAGTTTATTTCAAGTAAAAACCTCTTTTCCAGGTAATTTTATTTCCATATCTTACCTACAGAACTGTGTGTGTTCTTCATGTTTAACAAGATTACTTGACCCAACTTCAACACTAGGGACATATTCCTCCGGGCTTATTCTGACCTATTCAAGACTTTTTGCACCTTATAGTGGGCAGGTCAATCTATAGCCAAAATTAAAGACACTATTCATCACATAAAACCTAAGACAAGTGTGAACCCTGGTAATATAATTTATTTATATCAGTGTGTCAAAGCATTTCTGATGGAAAATTCTACTACAGTATACTGTAAATTCAATACTGCTTGAATAGAATATATGACCGATGTACTCTTGCATATCATTTGAACTACAGAAAACTCTCTTTACATTGGCTTCTCTCAGGTGATGTGGCAGATATAGTGTTTAAAGTGGTTCTAAAGCATGAAGGTGTTTTCCCTTAATGCATTCTCTGCAAAAACCTTTAGAATGCAGCTCCCCCCAAGCCCAATTTTGATCCAGTAATGTCCTCGAGAGCAGAGGCTCTCTCCTTCCTCATAGGCTCAGACACAGTAGTGGGAGCCATTGGCTCCTGCCGCTGTCAATTACAGTTGGTGAGGAGGGAGCCAACAGCAGGGCCAAGCCATTCTCTGTGTGGTGTTTTATAGACACACAGAGCCAGCACAGGAGTGAGACTGCACGAGTGCCCCCATAGCAAGCAGCTTGCTGGGGGCACTCAGCGGAAAGGAGGGGGTAATTTGAATAAGGCTCAGTTCACACTAGCTTTGTCAGCAGGCATCAAACAGGTGTTTGGGAAGCGTTTTTAAACTGC